AGGCCCCGCCCCGGAGCCGTACCGAAGGGGAGGGGGCTCGGCACGGCGACCGGAATCCAACCTCTGACCCCGCCGGAGGGCGGGTCGAGTCGCTAGCTCGTCGGGACTCAGTTTCTTTATCTGTAAAATGGGTTAAAAAACGGATTGTTTTGAGAAGCAAATGAGATGAGAGGCGCAGCCAAAGCGGGACCCCGACTAAGCGCTCGCCGCAAGTTGGTGATTAAATGCAATGATGGCAGCCGGCCGGCGGAGTACTAAGATGTTCCGGAAAAACCCGAACAAACTTTTTGGCTAACCCAATAGCAGAAGGGGGGTCGTGGAGTCCCCAGGAGTCACAGCCTCTGACCACCTCATCCCCGCCCAGCTGCCCAGCCCCGAAGCTGGCGCGCCTTCGGGCGAGCGCCGCTCCTCTCGCGGGGCCTCTCGCTCCCCGGCTCCCCCCTCCGCCCGGCCTGGAGGACGTGCGCCGCGTAAGCACCCAGCGGCCGGACGGGACTGGACGCGCCCGCCCCGCCCCGCCCTGCCCGGCGGGGGAAGGAAATACTGAGGCGTGTTTGTCAAGGCTTGGCATTATGAATATTTTTAAAACGTGAACACAAAATAGTAACGGCAAATGGAAGGAGCTTAATAAACAGGAAAAAAAAAAAAAAACACCCGCAAACCTCACCGCGCACCACACGGGAGTTTCCCTCGTGAAGAATCTGCGTGGAAACACGGGCCCCGCGCCCGCCGGTGTGTCTGCACAGACCCAGGTGGAGCGGGTGTTCAAGGTCCTCCAGTTGACGGTGTGGTCCCCACGGTGGGCATTGAGCCCGCAGGGATGGGGGCCCCACTGCGTGTAGCCGCCGCTTGATTTTCCCCCCTGCCCAACAGTCACATCGTGGCCGGCGTAGGGAGTAGAGGAAGGGCCTAGAAAAACCTCTTGGAGGGGGTGTCATTTCTTCGAGGTCGGTGGGATTTGGCTGTGAGAAGTCGAAGGAAGCGCATTCCAGGCCGAGAGAACAGCATGTACAAAGGCCCTGAGGTGTGGATGCGCTTGGCTTCTGGCGAGAAAGCCAGGTGGCTGGAGTGGACGTGGCCGGGCGCCAGGTGAGGCGGTTGGGATTGGTCGGCAGGGGGCATCCCGGGGCCGACAGCTGGAATTTCCACGCCCTAAAACTCCGGGTTTAGGGGAAGGGGCCCGAGACTGCGGTAGGTGGTGACAGTCATGGTCCGGTTAAGAGCCTAACTGTGTGGATCTGCACAGACGTTTGAAGGTAGCAAAGAGTTTTTGCACGCTCACGCCTTCCCTGCGAGATGGCCCCTAGACCGCCGGAGAGACCCATTTTACAGACTAGACGGTGTTACCCCATTTCCCAGATGAGAAAACCGAGAAGCTGCCAGCCCCCGACCCTCGGAATGTGCAGAGGTGGAGCCGCGCCGCCCTCGGGGCACTCCCGGGCGTGGGCGCTCCGGGCGGGCCCTGTCCCCTGGCTGCGCAGCGCCGGAGAACGATGGGCCGGGTGCCGGCCCTGCCACGCAGCCGCAGAGGCTCGGCCCCGCAGGAGGGCGGGCGGCAGGAAGGGAGGCGACGCCCCCTGGAGTGCGGCAGGAACCCGGCCGGGCCCGCCTCCTAGCCCGCCAAGCCGCGCCGGCCCCAGAAGTGATGAAAGCCCCGGCCAAGTCCAGGTCACGCAGAAACCGTTGCCCTTTTAAGGGGGAGCCTTGAAACGGCGCCCGGGTTCCATGTTTGCATCCGCCTCGCGGGGAGGAAACTCCATGTTGTAACAAAGTTTCCTCCGCGCCCCCTCCCTCCCCCTCCCCCTTAGAACCTGGCTCCCCTCCCCTCCGAAGCTCGCGGGGATCCCTCCCTCCCACCCCCCCCCTCCCCCCCGCGCCCCGATTCCGGCCCGAGCCGGGGGGGAGGCCGGGCGCCCGGGCCAGAGTCCGGCCGGAGCGGAGCGCGCCCGGCCCCATGGACAGCTCGGCCGTCATGTGGGGAGGAGGAGGGGGCTGCGCCCCTCCCCGGAGCAGCCGCCGCTGCCGCCCCAGGCTCCCGACTTGGCGGGGCCCGAAGCTTCCAACCGGAGGGGGAGCTGGTTGAGAGTTTGAACTCGCAGAGGCTCAGAGACGCGGGGCGGGGCCTGCCCCCTTTTGGGCGCTCCTGTCTGCTCGAGGTGGGGAAACTGAGGCAGGGGTAGAGAAGGGGCGCCCTCCGGGCTTCCCGGACTGGCTGTGCGCGATGCCCTAGAGTCGCCCCCTCCCCCTCATTGGCGCCAGTGGGGCTGGGAGATGGGGAGTTGAAGAGGGCGCCTTCAGGCCACCAGCTGAGACTCCGCCCCCTCTGGGCCGCGGTCTGGACGGGTCGAGGGAGGGGGCGCAGAGGTGACAGCGGGCTGGGGAGGGTTGGAAGGATCTCCCGCTACCACACAGCCACGTTCTTCACAAACTTTCGCGTCAGTCGTGGAGGCGCCGAGCCTCTCGGAGACGCAGAGAGGGACAACCGCTTTTAAGGATCGCCAGCGCGCCCGCGGGGAGACCCGCGTCGGACCGGGTCTGTGCGCACACGCACCGACCCGAGATGCCCCCGGCCTCGGCGGGGCACCCCGGGGCTTGACGGGTCTGGGCAGGGGGTCTGCCTTTCCCTGTCCCGGTGTTGAGTTAAGAGGCTAGGAAGTCCCTCCAGGTCTTCGCACCTGTGGCCTGGGCCTAGCTCTGCCCGGGGCCTGGTGGAGGGGATGTTGGAGGGCGGGCCGTCTATCAGCGGGACCTAAGTTGGAGGTCCAGGCGGGGGCGGAGGAGGAGGGGCCAGCAGATGGCGGCAGGACACTGGCCCCAGGCCCCCACCCCCTGTCTCTGGGCCCAGCCTCAGGGAGAACTTTGGACCTCTGGAGGCGGAGAGGATGGAAGAAGGGGAAGGACAGCAGGAGTGGGCCCCAGGGCCCCAGGCCTCAACCCTCTCTGACTGGGGCCCTACTGAATAGGGGCTGCTCAGGTACAGGGTGTGTCAGGAGGTGCCCCCAGTGGGCTGATCCCCCAGCAGCGAAGGAGGCTGTTAGGAAGAGAAAACACCTTCAGTCCCCGCCTCCAGCCAGCCCACTCCCTAATGTGGGTAACTTTGTACCCACACTAGAAGGACTTGTGGGGAGTGGAGGGGTGGCCTGGAGCCAAGACTGTCCGGATGCCACCTTCGTGTGTCTCCCTCAATGAAGGCAGCACGGCCAGACCCTCTGAGCCCAGGGGTTTGCGCCTGGGCACACGTGCCCACCTCTGCGGGCCAGTCGCTGTGCCTGCCCCCACCTTGGGCCTCCCTGCTTCAGGTGACCAGAAGTCTGCGGCTTCTCAAAAGCCCCGGAGTCGGGGCTTCCTCCACTCACTTTTCTGCTGCGTCTGCCGGGATGATGGGGAGGCCCTGCCTGCCCACAGTGGGGCGCCCCTGCTCGTGGAGGAGAACGGTGCTGTCCCCAAGGTGTGTGATGGCCAGGAGGGCGCTGCAGGGGCACCTGGGCTCAGCCCTCAGGGGGTTTAGGGGGAGGGGGCTCTTCATGACCTGCTCGAAGGCCCTGGAAGGAGGGTGGAGCCCCCCTGTCCCCCCACCAAGCCCTCCACCCTCCCAAGCCTTCCCAGCCCTGAATGCCCCAAGACTGCCTCCCAGGGGAGGGTCCCCCAACCACGGGAATTCTGAATTTCCCCTTCAGAAGTGGAAGCTTTCCTCTGCCTTGGTTTCCCAGGTCAGGAAATGAAGCCCAGAGAGCCAGGCGGCCTATCCCAGGCTCCAGAGTTGGCAGGGGCAAGGCTGGGAAGGGGTTGGTCTCTCCCACTGTCCTTGTGGCTCGCCAGGTAGAGGGCTGGGGGAGGGAAGACATGTGGAGGAGAAATGACGGGGGCTTGAGAGAGGTGCCCGCAGCCAGCCCCGCCCATCCCCACAGCAGACCCCAGTCCAGTACCTGCTCCCCGAAGCCAAGGCCCAGGACTCGGACAAGATCTGCGTAGTCATCGACCTGGACGAGACCCTGGTGCACAGCTCCTTCAAGGTGGGCCCTGCCCAGCAGCCCTCAGCCCCGGGTCTCTAAGGGAGTCCACCCTGGCCTGGGAGGCGGTCTCGGCGGGCGTCGCCCCAGCTCCAGCAGCTCTTTTCCCCCCTCACAGCCAGTGAACAATGCCGACTTCATCATCCCTGTGGAGATTGATGGGGTGGTCCACCAGGTGAGGGGCCGGGTGTGGGGGGAGGTGGTAGGCTTGGCATCTGTCTTCCAGACCCCAGGCTCTTCCCACCAATTCTGAGAGTCCCAGATGGGACTCTGATAGATGTGGAATGTCAGAGGCCCAGAGAGGGTGTGAGACTTGCCTAAGGTCACACGGACCCTCAGGGACTTGGCCCGACTCCAAGGCCTGCAGGGAGTCGGGGTCCTCTTCGGTGCCCCCTCGCCCCACCCTGCCCGGGACCCAGTTCAAGTAATTCAGGATAGGTTGTGTGCTGTCCAGCCTGTTCTCCATTACTTGGCTCGGGGGCCGGTGCTCTGCAGCTCTGGGGTGAGGGGGTTGCCCCCAGGCCCCTACATCTGGTTGAGGCCATGGTGGAGGAAGGGGCTGGGAATTAGTGATTCCCTTTGAGGCAGGGTCCAAAACCAGGAGTTGGAGGTTCATTTTGATTCTCTTCTGGATGGGTGGGTGTCTTCCCCAGTGGTGGTTGCACCGGCTGGCTGAGTGGAGCCCTGAGTGGAGCCCGCAGGCCATGGGACCAGCCTCCCTCCTGTGCCTCCTCCACCCACTCCCTCCCAGCCCCCTGGCAGCCCCGCCCCGCCCAGGCCTGTTGGCCAGCAGTCCCCTCACTGGCCCACCCCCCAGGTCTATGTGCTGAAGCGGCCCCACGTCGACGAGTTCCTGCAACGGATGGGTGAGCTCTTCGAATGCGTGCTGTTCACCGCCAGCCTTGCCAAGGTGAGCCTTCCACCCTCCGAAGGCCTCCTGGGGCATCTCTGCTTCCTATCCGCCTCCAGCGCACGACCTCTGGGCAGTGACCTCCGGGTCGCCCTTGGCCCTGGATGACCCACCTCCTGCCCCGCAGTACGCAGACCCAGTAGCTGACCTGCTGGACAAGTGGGGGGCCTTCCGGGCGCGGCTGTTTCGTGAATCATGCGTCTTCCACCGGGGGAACTACGTGAAGGACCTGAGCCGGCTGGGCCGAGACCTTCGGCGGGTGCTCATCCTGGACAACTCGCCCGCCTCCTATGTCTTCCATCCAGATAACGCCGTGAGTGCTGGGCAGGGTGGGGATGGGGGCCCCTGCTGGGGTCTGGTGCGCTCCCATTCCTCCCTCTTTCCTCAGTGACCCATGCCTGCTGCCCACCCGCCTGGTCCACCCATTGCTGCTCCCCGTTCTGTGTTAGTCACTCAGCCCATTCTGCCTGCAGATACAGGGCACCTGCCATGGGCTCGGGTCCCTGCTGGACACTGGAGCAGTTTCCATTTTTCATACCGCCAGTTGTGAGCTGTTAGTGGAACACGGAAATAATTTAGTGGGTCTTAGTTGGGATTTTTTAAAAAAATGAAATAGAACTGAAAATATCAGAGTGCTTAGCACACGGTAAGGTTAAGTATGGTTCCGTAGAACCTCTGCTCAGACCTGTGTGTAATTGTGACTCACTGGGGCTGCCGTCAGAATGTTTGAAGACTGTGGGTAAGGGGCTTCTAGGAGGTGGCCCATCGAGCAGTGGGTGCTCAGGATTGATCTGGACATTCTGTGCTCAGGGCCGCCTGCCCCCCTCACTGCCCTACACCCATCTGCTCAGGTACCGGTGGCCTCGTGGTTTGACAACATGAGTGACACGGAGCTCCACGACCTCCTGCCCTTCTTCGAGCAGCTCAGCCGTGTGGATGACGTGTACTCAGTGCTCAGGCAGCCTCGGCCCGGCAGCTAGTGAGGCGCCACGGGGCCAGGACCTGCCCCTGACTGCACCCTCACCCCTCACACGTGGACTCTTCCTAAAGAAAACTCAGCGCCACGGGGAAGTGGGCGTCTCCCCCGCCAGCCCGGCCAGGCTGTGCAGGGGGCAGCAGGCTGCACCGAGGGCGATGAGTCCCTGGGTCCCTGTGTCAGTGCCTTAGAACCTCCTCCTTCTTGGGGGGACCTGTGGGGCCCTGCGTGCCGCCTCCCTCCTTTCTATCTCTCTCTTTCTCTCTCTCTCTCTCTCTCTCTCTCTCTGCACAGCCATGTTTCTCTGCTGCCAAATTGGGTCCCTCGGGCCCTTCCAGTTCTGCCTGGGGGAGGGGCAGAGTTTTGCTGCCCCACGCCTTGGGCCCCCAGCCTGGGAACAATGGACACCAAGTGCCTTGCATAGAGCCCTCTTCTCGGCCCAATTTTCCCAGGGCCACGATCCGGGTCAGCTCTGCCTGGAACAGCCATCAGGTTGCAGCAATCTAGGCTGGTGTGGGAGGACCCAGTCTCCCCACCTCCTGCCTTGGGACTGCTATAGCCTCCACCAGTCTCTGCCTAGGAGGGCGGGGAGGGTAGAAGGTCTGTTACCACTTGTAAAGGGAGCAGGGGTCTGTCCTTCAGGACCCTAGAATCCAGCTTCTCTGGGCTCATCAGCACCTGAGGGCTGCTTCCCACATGGCCCAAGCTCCAACCTCTCACCTTTGCCTTGACCACCCCGAGGCCCTGGGGTTTGGTGCCCCAGCTCCGAGTGTGGAGGCATAGGCAAGATCCCTTTGCGGTGCCATATAAATATGTATATGTGTATATAGATTTTTAGGGGAAGGGGAGAGGGAAGGGTTGGGGTGGAGACACCCCTCCCTCACCCCTTTCCTGGACCCATAAACTGGGGGGAGGAGGGAAAGGATTTCTACATTTTTTAAACTGCTATTTTCTGAATGAAACAGGCTGGGCCAAAGGGCCCCAGGCCCTGTCCTTTGTCCCTCACACCCTTTTCAGCTCCGTTTATTCATACATTCAAAACCATTTGTTGAGCACCTTCTCTGTGCCCAGCGCTATGCTAGGCCCACCACGGCGTGTGCGTGTGTGGGTCTCTACACCACCTAAGGGGTGCCTCCCCCACCCACCCCATGCTTCACCGGTGCCTTTAGGGGATCTGTAGGAGGTGGGACCCTTCTTGCGGGGTTTGGGGGCTCCAGGAAGCCTGGCCAAGCTGTCCCCCTCCCCTGTGCCAACCCACCCCTGCAGCCCTCTGCCTCGCCCCCTGCTGGCTGGGGGCAGCTCCCAGGCCGTGCTGCCTTCCAGCTCTGAGTCCTTTGTCTGGAACCCCTCCCCCAAATGCTGGGTCTGGAGGTCAAGGCCTTGGGCTCTCCCCAGGGCCTATCAGTTAAGGGGACCCACATACCAGTGCCAAGGGGGATGTCAGGTGATGTCGTTACCCTTCCCCCCCCCCACCAGAGAGCTGGGGGTGGGAGGGAGGACAAGGTTGGTCTGAATCAGGTGACCTTCCCATCTAAGTGCCTTCTCTGTAACGGAGAGCCCCAAAGTGATGAGAACTAAAGAGAAAGTCGGACCCCCCTATCCTGACTCTGTGGTTATTGGGCGGGGCGGGGGGGGCGTTGACGTGCGGGGAGTCCCATGAAGCCACACCTCGCTTCAGCAAACCCTTAGGAGCTACTGGCGGTAGTAGTGGAGGGAAGGGCTGCCCTAAGCCCCCTGGGGCTTCAAGTCTGAAAGTGCAAACTTTGAAGATCTGAGTGCATCCGGCTGTGCTATTTAATTCTACCTCTCTTGGCCTCAGTTATCTAATCTGCAAAATGGAGACAGGCCCTCTTTACGGAATTGATTAAATGCCTGCACAGGGAGGACTTAATATTATTAGCTGTAAAGCAAGCTGAAATGCGTCCCTAGGAGAGGCCCCTGGAAGGTATTCAGAGACAGGAGGGATGTGGTCTCCGCTCTGGAGCGGAGGGGAGGGGCTCATGAGGCCCCAGAGTGGGGAGGTGGGGTGCGGGACGAGTTAGAGGAAGCCAAGTTCAGCTCCAAACGGAAGAACTTAGAACGCGGCTGACCCAGGCCGCGTGCGGGCGGCCGAGGCGTCGCGGGCTGAGCCGCGCCGCCAGACATTCTGGCAGGCTGAGGCGTCTGGGGCTCTGGGGAGGATGGGTGGGGTCGCGGGCTCGGTCTCGTTCACCTCCGCACCCGCTCCGACCGCGGCCTCTCACTGCCCGCCGGCCGCACCCTCGCACGAGCCTCTGGCCCACTTCCTGCCTCCGCCCCTCCGGCCCTGGCAGCACTTCCTTTGCAAAAACTGGGCAGCCCCAGGCCCTGGCAGGAAGTGCCTTCCCGGCCCGCCCTCTCCTGCTTCCCACGGTGGCCGCTAGAGGCCTCTCTCCTCGCGGACGCCCGGGGTCACCAGCCCCGGGCCTCCGCCCCCCGCCCTCTGGGCGCACACACCCAGCCCCCTCCCCCCCCCCCCCCCCCCCCCCTCCCTCCCCCCACCCCGCCCGTGGCTGGAAAGATGAGGGCAGGCTTCATTCCCCATCTCCCAGGAGTGGGTAGCTTCTGGCTCCATCCCGCCCGCCCGAACAAACCCACTGGGGGGAAGGAAGGTCTGCCCCTCCCAAAGGTTGATCCCTGTTCCCGCAGCTCCACCTCCCACCCCCTCACACCCTTACCTTGTGGATCCAACCTCAAGGATGCCTGCTGGTGCCCCAGATGCTGATCTGCCCCCCAAGTCTCTGAGGGGATCTGCAGTGTGATACTGCCCCCTCCCCGCTGTTTTTCCCTGGCAGAAAAGCGTCACGAAGCATCCACCTGGGAAGAGAAGCCGCAGTACCCTCGCTCAGTGCCATCAGCTCCAGTTCTAGTCTGCGCGGAAGCCCCGGAGCCCTTGGCAGGGTGAATACCGAGTCCTCCCTGCCTCTGCCCTGACCCTGCTTGAGGTCCTGCACTATTTCCTGCTCTCCATGCAAACACTAGTCCCTCCAGATTTGCATCCCACCAGAGTCGCCACAGCTCCCAACTTTGAACGAGACCACAGCCAGCCTTCCCCCGCCCCGCACCCCACACACTTCACCCACAGAGTTCAACACAGCCACGTGTATCAGAGCTTACTTTGTACCAGGCACAGTGCCAGGACCGGGGGACACGCCATCACTAGGCTGTGCCGCCGCTCTCAAGGAACTCACACCTTAGTGTGGAGAAAGACACCTGAACGGCCTGTCCAACTCTGAAAGGCTGCAAATGCAGTGCAAGAGATAACACGGAGGGCAGGGGGCACAGGGGACACCTAGCCCCTCTGCGGCGGCCGTGGGGGGGACTGGAAATCCTTCCCGCGGGAGTGAGGCTCAGAGGATTTGGGAAGGAGATGAGGTTCGGGTGAAGGTGGTCTGTGCGCGGAGGTACACCAGGAAAGGAAGCCAGAGCTTCAGGAGGGCCACAGTAGGGAGCGTGGGAAGTGACAGTTTTGGAATTGCACACAGTGGGGGGAAGGATGGGAAATGACGCTGCAGAAAGCGGGAGCGAGGTATCGCAGATCTGTAGGCAGACCGAGGGAGTGGCCTTTTCATTGCGGGCAGTGGATGCCATTGAGGGACACTGGGGGACACTGAACAAGAGAGGGGCCGACTCAAACCTGGCAGCTGCGCGTTGAAAGCTAAATCAGGGGCATGGGGACATCAGACTCTCCCTGCCGGGAGACCACAGCCATGGTTCTGAAGACAGACAATGAAGACCCGAACTGAAGCTGAGGCAGAATGAAGAAAGAAGGACGAAGCGATGGATGTGACATAGGAGATGAACTTGGCAGGAAGCTATGGCTGGTTGGCTCTGGGGGGCATGGGTGGAGGGGAGGGAGGAAGGCAACCTCACTTCTGGCTTTGGAAACTTCAGCTGTGAGAATGTCTCTCACTGAGCCTGGTGTGGGGCTCAGTTATTCACTATTTGCTTGTTACGCACACAGAGAACAGAAGGAACAGGCAGCTTTTTTTGTACTTTTAGGAATTTATGTGGTAGATAAAATGTATATGCATATAACTTTGTATGCATATGTGTATTAATTTCATCCTTGTTGGTAATAGCAAAGCACTTGAAATAACTTCAGTGTCCAAGAATAAGGGACTAGTTAAATAAATGCCACTGTATCTATACCGGAGAATACTATATAGTGATGAAAAACAATGAGGTGAAACTATCCAAGCAGATATAGAATGATCGCCAAGATAAACCGGTCAATGAAACAAAGCAAGATTCATAGCAATGGTGATGGTGTTTTCCCACTAAAGAGAAATATAAAAGTAGACACAAATATACGTATATAATTTTGTATACTTCCATAGGGTACACAAGAAATGGGAATTGTGGCTAATTGTGGGGAGCAGAGCTGGGGGACTGGGTGGGAGTCATTTAAGATGGGAGGGACACGTTTTATTATATATCTTTATATTTTGAATTATTTTACCAGGTACATTTATTAGTTTTTAAAAATAAAAATGGATTTAAATTAAAAACAGCTTTCTAAATATATTATCAAAGATAGAAATCACAAATTCCATTTCTTTCCTTCAAACAGTCACTGCATGCCTACTCTGTACCAGGCACTAGGGTACAGCAGTGAGCAAAACACTGTGGGGAAAACAGACATTAACAAAGTAATTACAAAATAATATTACAAAAGGAGTAGAAAGTGGTAAATAATCTGAAACTTTTGTTCTGCCAGTGCCTTGGAGATGACTTCTAATTGCCCCAAGATTACCCCAATATGACTTCTAATTGTAAGGGGGAAATGTGCCTTTAAGGTGGCGATATCTGGCAATCACCACCGTAATCAAGGGATCAGACTTCGCTGTCACTCATGCTGAGACAACTTGACATTATATACCTCCTGATGCCAGACAGTGTGAAGTACACAGCAACACTTCTGACCACGCTGCTCAAAGTGTGGTCCACCGAATGGAACATCAGCACCATCTGGGAGCTTGATAGTAATGCAGAGTCTCAGGCCCCACTCCAGACCTATAGAATCAGAATCTGCACTTCAAATAGATTCCCCAGTGATTCTTAAGATATTACAGTTGGAGAAACACTGTCCTTTTTCACATATTCTTGAAAAACTTGTTTAACCAGGACCTACCAAGCCTTTAGAGGTACTTTCAGTTTGTGGGAAATACAGGAGGAAGAGAAACAAATTTAAAAATCCACAAAGAGGGGTTTCCCTGATGGCGCAGCGGATGAGAATCTGCCTGCCAATGCAGGGGACATGGGTTCGACCCCTGGTCTGGGAAGATCCCACATGCCACGGAGCAACTAAGCCCGTGTGCCACAACTACTGAGCCCACATGCCACAACTACTGAAGTCTGCGCACCTAGAGCCCATTCTCCGCAACAAGAGAAGCCCGCGCACCGCAACGAAGACCCAACACAGCCAAAATTAAATTAATTAATTAAATAAATTTTAAAAAATACACAAAGAAAGACAAATCCCAGTGTGAACACTCTACAAGACACTGCCCTCGACTCAGGTAAGCCCATGTCATAGAAAAAAGTAGCAGGACTCTTCTAGATTAAAAGATACTGAAGAGACATAACAATCAAAGGAAATGCATGATCTTGATTTGATCAAGAATCAATGAGGGCTTCCCTGGTGGCACAGTGGTTGAGAGTCCGCCTGCCCATGCAGGGGACACGGATTCGTGCCCTGGTCCGGGAAGATCCCACATGCCGCGGAGCGCCTGGGTCCGTGGGCCATGGCTGCTGAGCCTGCGCGTCCGGAGCCTTTGCTCCGCAATGGGAGGGGCCGCAGCGGTGAGAGGCCGCGTACCGCTAAAAAAAAAAAAAAGAATCAATGAAACCAGGTGTTACAGTCCTCCTGAGAAATCTGATTATGTATTTCATGGAAGATGATATTAGAAATAATTGTTAATGTTCTCAGTTGCAAAAATCGTATTACGGGGCTTCCCTGGTGGCGCAGTGCTTGAGAGTCCGCCTGCCGATGCAGGAGACGCGGGTTCGTGCCCCGTTTCGGGAAGATCCCACATGCCGCGGAGCGGCTGGGCCCGTGAGCCATGGCCGCTGAGCCTGCGCGTCCGGAGCCTGTGCTCCGCAAATGGGAGAGGCCACAGCAGTGAGAGGCCCGCATAACGCAAGGAAAAAAAAAAAAAAAAAAAAAAAAAAAAAAAATCGTATTACGGTTATGAAGGAGATTCTTCTACTTCTTAAGAGACGTATGACAAATATTTTGAGCTGACGTATAATAATACCTGCAACTTCCAAATATATATATATAGCAAATGTTAATTCTTGAGTCCATGGGTGTTTATTATTATACTATCATACTATTATTTCTACTTTTCTATAGGTTTGACATTTATCAAAATTAAGAAATTGGAAATAATTTTTAAAAACATATGTTCTCCTGACTTCCCTTGTGGTCCAGTGGTTGAGATTCCATGCCTGCACTGCAGGGAGTGGAGTTCAATCCTTGGTCTGGGAACTAAGATCCCACATGCCAAGAAAAAAAGTCCTACCCCAAAATTCTAAGGCTAAGTTAAAAGGCAAGCAATAAATTAGAGAAAACTATACCATACATTGCAAGCAGGTTACCAACCTTAATACATTAAATATATAAACAACTCCAACAAATCAGTTAAAAATTCACAGAAGACATAGCCTGTATATACATATTTAAGCCGCATCACTCGGCCTGCAGGATCTTAGTTCCCTGACCAGGGATTGAACCCAGCCCCAGCAGTGAAATCACCAAGTCCCAACCACTGGACCGCCAGGGAGCTCCCCAATAAATGTATTTTTTAAAATGGTCTATCTCACTGGTAATCAAAGAAATATAAATCAACAAAAAGACAATTTTCTTTTGGACATTCAAACTGACAGAAATTTTCTTAAAAGCTGGAGTCCAGTACTGGGCAAACAGGCAAATGCCTGTAGTGCTGGTGCGACTATAAATTAATGCGATTTTTCTGGAAGGCAGCTCGCCTATTCACATCTTCGACCCAGCAATCCCACTTTTAGAAGTTTATCCTAAATAAATAATAATGGATACAATCTATTGGCAAAGATTTAGCAACAAGAATACTTATCACAGCATTCTTAGTAGTATCAAGTAATTGGATATAATTCGAAAGTCCAATAATGAGCTATTGCTTACATAAGCTATGCTATCTATCTAATGGATTATCATGAGACAATTAAAATGACACTGCCGATTAGCATGTAACATGTCACAGTAAAAAGGATATATATGAAGACCGATAGATGATAGATAGATATTATATACATATAGTACACACACAGCATATGTACTGGGCAATAACTTGAAAGAAATGCTCCAAAATAAATTACCCAGATTTATCTCTGTAGTGGAATTATAAATGAGTTTTTCCTTTCCTTTTTGCCTGTCTGTATAATTGAGTGAACATATACCTTTTTTTTTTTTTTTTGAACATACACCTTTTATTCACACAAAAATGTGTTTTGTTTTGTTTTGTTTTGTTGCGGTACGCGGGCCTCTCACTGTGTGGCCTCTCCCGTTGCGGAGCACAGGCTCTGCTCTGGACGCGCGGAGCACAGACTCCAGACGCGCGGAGCACAGACTCCGGACGCGCAGACTCAGCGGCCATGGCTCACGGGCCCAGCCGCTCCGCGGCATGTGGGATCCTCCCGGACCGGGGCACGAACCCGTGTTCCCTGTATCGGCAGGTGGACTCTCAACCACTGCGCCACCAGGGAAGCTCTATTTCCTTAGAAACAAAATAGCACCTGCAGTGTGTTTATTCCTCTTATCAAACTGTGCGTGAGCTCACACACACACCTGCATGCACATGCGCACGTGTGCACACAAATGTACATTTGGTCTCTAGAACTCTTGGGAAGGTGTGGTCAGGAGAAGCAGCTGCCCTCACCCAGCCTGCTTCGGTGCGCCCTCCTAAGGCCCACAGTTCAGAGGTGACAGGAGAACTTCTGCAGCAGTGGAGGTTGGAGGCAGCTGCCCAGGGTGCTGAGTCTGTGGGCAACGCCGACCTCTGAGTGAGACCCGCTTCCTGAGAGGGCTGCGCTCCTTTCCCCTTCTGAGTGAGAAGCCCCCCAGGATCAGGTTCAGAAATGGAAGCTGTGGCTCCTGGGAGAGAGCAGCAGAGCAGAGTCCAAAGGCAACGGTTTATGGCAGCTCATAAAAACTCCAGGTGGAGCCAGCGCGTCTGAAGAGGGAGACAAGAAGAGCACTGTGCCCCTCTGAGCGCGCGACCTCTAGGGGTGCCAGTGTCCCATATGTCCTGGAAGGGCCCTAAGTCTGAACACCTGGCCCTGAATCCCTGGGTCCAGGGCTCCCCCACCCCAGGGCCACTCCCCCAGGGAAGGAGGGAGGACGGCAGTGCTGGCTCCTCTGGGTCGAAGGGAGGAAGTGTCCAGGTGCCCCTATCTTTCCTGGCAGATGCTGTCCACCTGCATCCCATTCTGCCTGGGCCCTGGGCAGAAACGCATCCCATCCCTGGGCACCTGCTCGGGAGCCAAGGGTGGGGCACCTTGGCTCTGGGCGTCAGGCAGTCGCTGGGCTCCTGGCTCCCAGGGACCTGGCGGGCACCTGCCTCCCCACCCCCTCACCCATTCTCTCTCTCTGTCTTCCCTTATATGGCAAAGGCAGTTCCTGGGGTGTGGGGGGGGGGGACAAAGGTCGCTCTCTTCCAGCCAGCCTGCCACAGCTCCCTGAGATCTCCCAGGTGGCAGCTGCCTCCTCCAGACAGGTAAGGCCACCCTGTGGGGACACACGGGACCACAGGTGGTGGGAGAGGACAGAACAGGGTCCCCTGCTCCTGGCGGGTAGCCTGGGGCCTCCTGCAGCTCCTTGGCGCGGGTGTGAGGGAGAGGCTTCGTTCTCTGGAGAGTCTGGAAAGGGCAGGGAGCCCAGTGTGGCTTCCTGGGCCTCCAAGGGAACGATTGTGAAGCTTCACCCCAGACAGCTGCTCTTTCCGACCCCCTCTTGCCGCCAGTCCCCACCCCACCTCAGGTGTCACCCATCCCCGCCCGACTGCCCTGGACTGAGGAGTATCTGGGGACTTCTAGATGTAGAACCCTCCAGTCCTGGGCAAACTGGGACTAGCTGGTCACCCTGACCTCACTCTCCCCCTAACCCCCGCGCCCACTGTCTCTTTGCTCATTTCTTCCTCATCTGAAATGGTTATGGTTTCTTTCTCTGTGTCCCCATTCCCTTGACATTCCTGGGACCTCAGGGCTCTCGTCTCCTGGATACTAGGGTGTGAGCAACAGCCATCAGGGATTGAATGGGCAAAGGCAGAGAGGGGGCAGGGGACTGGGGCCAACAGGACCCTGGGCCCTGCTCCAGGCTCGGCCACCCTCTCATGCACCTCTGCCCCATCTCTCCTCCACCAGGACCCGTCCCCTCAGCCTCACCAGGCACTGCGGCTCCATTCAGCTAAAATGGGGGGGGGGGCAGGGGAGGTGGGAGCCAAGTCCAGGTCAGGATCTTGGGATGTACTGACCACCCGCTTCCCAGGAAGCCTGTTCAGGCTCAGGGTGAGGCAGAGTCAGCAGGCTGGGGGCTGGGATATGTCCACTTCCTCTGCTCTCACGGGCCTAACAAAGCAGGAGGGTGTCCTTTGTTTGGGGACTGCCACATTCCTGTCCCGCTGAGAACTGCATGACTAAGAATGAAGAGCAGTGACAGCACTCTGGGGCTCTCTGGAGCCCCAACTCTGAGGACAAAACAAGGCAGCAGTTACTAAAGGAAAGATGGGACCTGGGGGCAGCAGGAGCCCTAACTCCCTCCACGGTCCCAAGAAGGGCCAGCCCTTCTATTCTGCGGTTCAGTCTTTCAGCTTCAAGAGTATTTATTGAGCACCTACTATGTGCTAGGATCTGGGGGCTACAGACAAATGTGTCTAGGTCCTTGACCTTGGGGACCTCAGACTTATATAAACAGATCCTCTCATCATCATGTGGTCAGGGGTCCAAGAGAGGCATCCGGCCAGGATGCCTTGGAATCCCTGAGGAGGGGTCCATAGTCTAGCTTGAGGATTCCGGAAAGGTATCTTGGAAGAAATGAGACCTAAATTGAGTCAAGAAGAGCACGTGAGTGTTGGCCAAGTGAAGACAGGTGGCGAGGGCACTGGAAAGGAAAACTAAAGGAGAAAGGAGGGACGTGAGGGGAGGGTGAGAAGCAGCATGGGTGGGTGGGGGGTGGCCAGGGCCAGTGAACAGTGTGGTGTTACTAGAAGCAGAGAGAGGTGGGGGTGTGTTGGGGGCAGACTGGAGAGGCATTCAGGTGGACAGAAGGGCCAGAGAGGGAGGGGTCCAGGCTGCTGCACCAATGGATGGCTTTGGGGTCTGGGAGTGTTGGTGCCCTTCCTCAAGGTGGGGACTGAGGAGAGAGGGGACCAGGAGTGAGGGGGGAGCCAGTGAATTCAAGCTGAGAGAGAAGACATCACATATCCAAACCCAGCGCTGTGCTGTCGGCATTGGGGCAGCATGGGACCCATATTCCTCCCAGCAGTTCAGGAGAGACTGGAGGCTGGGGAGGACCAGGGGGGCGGGCCAGAGGCATCTGCTCTGACCAACATCGACAGGGCAGGAGCAGTTGGCAGGTACCCTTGGAGCCTGAGTCCCCGTCTCGGGGCTGCCCTCCCCAGAATGCCCTTGCTCACCCCTTCCCTGTTCAAGATGCTGGAGGTCCCGAGTCCTGATTTCTCTCTAGGGAGGGAGAGCCCCAGCTTTTTCAAGCCCCTGCTTGCCAGAGTCTCCACTGCTTTGATGGACAAGAAGAGCCTCATCTTGTCTACCCTCTATTCCTCTTGCTGTTTCCTCCTAGACTCAGAGCATGTCTCTGTGGGACTTTAAATATTTATTTATTTATTTATTTGGTTGCACCGGGTCTTGGTTGCAGCAGGCGGGCTCCTTAGTTGTGGCACACAAGCTCTTAGTTGCGGCATGCATGTGGGATCTAGCTCCCTGACCAGGGATCTAACCCAGGCCCCCTGCACTGGGAGCACGGAGTCTTATCCATTGTGCCACCAGGGAAGTCCCCCTGGTGGGACTTTAGAGATCACCTAGTTGTCGACCGCCCACCTCATAGATGAAGAAACACAGCCATGTCTGTACAGCTAGTGAGGGTCGGTCTGTTTTGGTGAAAAGAGGGATGTGGACGAAGGTGGTGATTGAAATAAAACAGAAAACATCTTCCTCCTTTGTAACCAAATTGGTTCAACTGAACCAGGAGTCCTGGGAGCCCTGGGGTCTCTGTGGGTTGAGAAATACCTCATGGAAGAGGCCCTGGCCGACAGCAACATCAGACAGGACCCAGGCACAAGGGGCTCCTACATGTGCAGTGCTGGCCGTTGGCAGGTGGCCCTGATCTGCTGGAGGGGGCGCTAATCAAAGGCTGGCCAGGGAGACCTTGCCCCCAGATTCCACAATGCCAGGGAGAGGGGGGTCACCCTTTAGGACTCGGAAGAGGGAGTCTACCAGCAGTAAAAGACCACGTCATTGTTCCAAGGGGTGACTCAGACTCCAGGTGCAAGGAGAGATTAGATAGATTCCAGCTGTCAGTGCACGGAGGTGGGGACCACATGACCTTTCATTTATTATTCACTGATTCAAGGAGCATTCATGGAGGGCAACTCCATGCAGGGCTGGGTGGTAGGTTCGGTGGGGAATGGGGGGAGGGGCAGGAAACCAGGGACAAAAATAACCGGGGACAAGTGGCTCTCCTTAGCTCATCAGAATCACTGGGGAGTTTTAAAAGCACCTATGCCCCGCCTCCCAAAAGGCAGAAAATAAAGTACCCAAGACTGGGCCCCACCCAGGCCTAATTAAATTAGAATCCCTGGGGATATGGATACATCCTGAGCATCAGAGCATCAGTGTCGTTTAAAATCTCCCTAGGGAGAACGGAGCGAGAAGCGTGCTTCTCAGGGACGAGACTGGCTTGCCAGCACACGGATTCTTCTGAACTAAGATTTGCAATGTAGGGGGCGGACGTCCTGGTGTTTTTGTTATTGTTGTTTAGGTTCTAATTTGTCCCCTCTCCGGTCCTGATTACTGTACTCAGTAGATTTAGATGGCATGGACTTGAAATAAAGCACCTTTGTGTTAAAAAAAAAAGCTCCCTAGGTGATTCTGATGAGCAGCTGGAGTGGAGAACACAGCTACAGGTCAAAGGAATACAGCCACAACAGATACCATAAAAGAAGATTGGGGAGAGATTTCTTGCTGCTCAGTGGGTGGTGGGTGGTTCACATTGGAAGGATTCACTCATTCATTCATCCATCCATCCACTCAATCACTTTAACCCACACACCCAACCAACCACCCGACTACCCGCCCATTCATCCATCTGCCCACGCACCCACTCAGCAAAGTGCCAGCGGTGCTACATGCTGGTGATTCAGTACCGAACAAACAAACATGGTCCCACCGCATTTTGTGTGGGCTACCAGAACAGTAACTGCGGGGTGTCTGGAGCTAGCAAGAAACAGGAAACTGCTGCATACACTTTTCTTTTATTGTGGTAAAATACACAGAACATAAGATTTACCATTTTTACCACTTTAAAACATACAATTCAGTGACATTCAATACATTCACAATGCTGCACAGCCACTACCACTATCTAGTTTCAGAATGTTTTCATCATCCCAAATGGAAACTCCATACCCACTAGGAGTCGCTCCCCATTCCTCCCTTCCTCCCAGCCCCTGAAAACCACGAATCGCTTGCTATCTATGGATTTGCCTATTCTAGATATTTCATATAAATTCAATCATACAGTACCGGGCCTTTGTGTCTGACCTTTTTCACTGGGCCTAAAGTATTCAAGGTTCATCCACGTTGTAGTGTATATCGTGCTTCAATCGTTGTTTTTCAGCTGAATACCGTTCCATTGTGTGGAGAGACCACATTTTGTTGATCTGTTCATATGGCATTTGGATTGTTTCCACCTTTTGGCTATTGTGAATAGAGCAGCTATGAATTTCATGTACAAGTTTTTGTTTGAACGCCTGTTTTTTTCAATTCTTCTGGGTGCACACTGTTTGGGGCTAGATCAAGAAAGAAGGCCTTGATTGCCAGGCTAAAGAGTGGGGGGAGACTTTTTGCAGTAGGCGATGAGGGCAGGTATTTAAACAAGAATGACAAGATCAGAGCTGGGTGAGAAGGCTGGAGGATGGGCCCTGGCCAGTCAGGGCCCAGGGTGGGGAACCTCCCCCAGGTCCCTGAGCCCTGGCCTCGGGGCACTGTCGGGCTGGGCTGGAAGAGAGGCACTGAAACCGACGCACGCCCAGGCCCTCTTT